ACCAAATATAATTCTAATATTTCCTATGTGCTAAATATCAAGTATAAAACTAATATTTCTAATTATTTATAAAAGAAGTTTATGATAGTAATAATACTAATAGTAATAATGGTAGTAATGGTAATACAAAATTACTTTATAATGTTATATTTTTGATAATTGAACTAATACATTCAAATTTCAAACTAATTTTAATTTTGATAGACCTACAATTTGACAATAGATTTCTAGCAAGTTTTCTTTGGGTTTTAAGCATTTTGTTCACTTCAAACATGTACAGAAATCCTGAGGTTCAAGGAGGAATCATTGTGTCAATAACTATAGTTATTGTAAATATAAAAATGAATACAACAAAAAATCTTGTGTGCAGTATGTCCGACGGAAAATTAAATGTTTTAATTTTATTATAAACAAATAAATAAAGATTTGAATAACGCAAATAAAATGTAAAATGTGGGACGAAATCCAAGAGAGTTGCTCACTCATTCTAACGTCCGTTTTTTAAATTACGACACATACCAATTGAAATTTTACGATTTGCTATAATATAAATTTTATAAGCAAGCAATTAAAGCAACTGAAGTAAAGAAAAATCACATCTTTAACAATAATTACAAACGTTGAAGTAAATAATAAAATCACACCCCATACTTCATGTAGATAAATATAATTTATTTTAACAATTTTGAGTTATTTACCCACAAAATAAGAAAAAAAGGGTTGAAGCAATCTAAAAAAAATAATTCGAATTACTAGCAATTTATTTAGGCTTTGGAATTCATTCAGGATTAGGAAAGTGTGAATCGATTAAAGGCCTTTTTCATTTCTCATATATCTCTGTACATTTTTGAACTAATTCAGCAAAAGCAAAAACGTTTTCACACAGCCATGCATCAATTAATATGTAAGCTTTTATAGTTAGCTCTTGTATGAAATTTTTGTGTTTATTAGATCTTGAATTACAAATATTTCGTAAATGATTTTGTATTACAAAAAATATTCCTTTTTAACAATTAACATGTGTTCTAAATTCAATTAAAAAAGCAAATACAATTATTTACGTTAAGGTTCGATTATTTTAAAGCTTGTTGATTTCGGTTGTTAAGAGTTTCTTATATTTAGTTGTGTACTGTGAGGCGAGTTTTAATAATTAGTTTATATACTCTAGATATTTTTCAGCATCACTAATATGTCTTTACTTCAAAAAATGTTTTTCATTTTTCAATGTTCCTATTAATATATATATTAAACTTAACATTCATTTTTGCTATTCTTTCTAATACCAGAGTTCTTTTAAACATAAACCAGATGAAAAAGAATTCCTGAACTTTTTCATATTTGTTGCTCAGGAAATTTAATTAGAACATATTTTGTTTTTTTTCCTGTTTTGAAAGAGGTTTTTTCTGATGAAAATGAATAAAGTAAAAAAAAACAGTTCGAGGAAAAAATATTTAATAATTAAAATAATTATGGTATTTATTCCAGATAAATAAGAGGAAATTATTCACAAATTATCTCACAAATTGATACAACAAAAGAATAGAAGCTTAATAAGGCACGAAGAACAGATAAAATATCTCCAGTGCATAACAAGTTGAAATGTATTTAAAAGTAATAGAATTTAGGAGTCACTATTTTTTTCAAAAAAGCAACTGTTCAAATGAGATTAATACAAGGTGACGCTGCGAATAAAGTCTAATATTGGTTATTAATGTAAAAACAAAAAGCTCAAAATTATGAATTGAATAATTAATAATATCTTTACTTAAAATATTGACTATCATATGTTTCATAGAAATTTATCAATAAGCAAAGGAGGTGAAGAAAACTTGCAGTTATGCACATATATTTCATTCTGTTCAAGAATATAGATTTTTAGTGTTCTTAACTCAATATACATGTATATACAGTTAAAGTCAAAATGAAAATAAGATAAAACAAAGAAAATTATAGGCATATGAAAAAAAGGGGAAAAAGAAAAATAATAATAAAAAAATAACAAACAACTGGGGGAAAAATAACCAGGAAAAAAAAGGGATAAAATTTTTTTAAAAAATCAGGAAAATATAAGATGTAATCTTTTCATCAGCCCACACGATTATGTCCTCAAAAAAGAGTGCTTTCTAATATTGTATCAATATGGCCAAAGCGAAATATATCAATACAGTAGTGTGAGGAGCATACAAAAATTTTTACAAAAATTACAACAAATAAAAATAGAACACAATAAGTAAAATTACCGAGTAAGAACAGAAAATAAAATATGAAGAAAAAACAGAATATATATATATATNTTAACTAAATATACATGTATATACAGTTAAAGTCAAAATGAAAATAAGATAAAACAAAGAAAAATTATAGGCATATGAGAAAAAGGGGAAAAAGAAAAATAATAATAAAAAAATAACAAACAACTGGGGAAAAAATAATCAGGAAAAAAAAGGGATAAATTTTTTTTAAAAAATCAGGATAAAATAAGATATAATCTTTTCATCAGCCCACATGATTATGTCCTCAAAAAAGAGTGCTTTCTAATATTGTATCAATATGGCCAAAGCGAAATATATCAATACAGTAGTGTGAGGAGCATACAAAAAATTTTACAAAAATTACAACAAATAAAAATAGAACACAATAAGTAAAATTACCGCGTAAGAACAGAAAATAAAATATAAGGAAAAGTGACCATCTCTATTAGGAGAAAATTTCTATTAAAGAGAGTAAATGCATTTAAAAATCTTTGATCACTAGTTACAGAAACTAATAAGATTAAATTAGAAAATAGAACACTGATATATGTGGAAACAAATATTATTATTATTTATAAAAAAATATTGAGATTCAGCTTCATTGGGAAGATAAAAAAAAATTCATTGACACAGAAAAAAAATGTATTGTCATAACTACCAGAATATGGTAAAATTTACTGTGTTTCTGGCTCTATGGGGATACCAAAAAGAATGATAATTCTTATTGAACCGCTTTAGCAATAATTTTGGTAAAATTAACAGTAAAATTTTGATTTATATTGTATGTAAGAATCTGATAAATATGGTAAAATTCGACAAGATTTTCATACTTTAGAGCATGGCAAGAAAAAAAACGTTTATTCGGCTTAATAAACGTTTCAGTTTTGCTTTTTTATTACATAAGTGATAATAAGAATTATAGATTTGTAAACCAAAATTTTCAGAGAACAGTTACCATATTAATGGAAACCGCTATTATATTAATAATTTAAATATTGTATATAGTTTTATTAAAAGAATTAGGGTTTTTATCATGAAACATCGTTACCATAAAGTTCAACATTCTTACCTCACTTTTTTCTCCATGTAGGTAAACATTAAACCTCAATTCATTATATGCAAATTAATAATTGCTGCTACATTCATCTGACCAATTGTGCTGTATTCATCGGAGACAGAGATTTTAACATTCATTGAAGCAATATTAATTTTTTTCGCAATCAAGGGTTAATTTCATCGTTTTACTGCATTTGAACTTTCTGGCATTTTAAGTTTCTTCAATTTTCTTAAAAGCTTTACCATATTTTCAATTTTATTTACATAAAATTTCAAAATGTATAAAAGTATATAATATTTGAAATTGTGCTTAAAGTTTAAATTTTATTTTCTAGTAAAATGTAAGGTACTGAAAGTAAGTGAATGTTTTCAGTACTTAGATTAAACTGGTCTGTTATCCATGAATGTTTGAAATTTCTTTTAAAAAAAATAGCAAAATATATTAATATAATTTATAAAAAAATTTTATGAATAGTTTCTTCAGTTTTTACCAAAAAAGAAAAAAACATAAAAGGAAACTAGACATTTGAATAACGTTACGAAAATATCAATATGTCAATAAAATAAAATCACATTTACAGAAAGTGAAATTAAGATCATATCCAGAATTTAGTGTAAGATGTAAGCTACCGAATGGTAGTTAATATTTTCCTTACGTATTTTAATTTTGTATAAGGTTTTAAATTAATTACACAATTTAGGTTTTAAATCAATTACACAATTTAGGTTTTAAATCAATTATAAATTAAATATTATGAGGTTTTAAATCAATTACAAATTAAATATTATAAGGCTTTAAATCAATCGCAAACAAGCACAAAATTTAATAACTCATGTCATGTCTTTACCAATAGCATTTGATTTTCTTATATTCACTGCTAAAAGTCTTGATCAGAGGTTAAGGATTTTTCTTACGCCAATTTATGAAAATGAGAATTATCTTTATATAACATGAAAATAACATGATAAAAAAACATGAAAAAATAATAAATAAAATTTATTTCTTTTTCTTTTTTTTTACTGCTCAGTCATTATTCAAATTTTTTCTATATGGTCAATCACACTTTAATATTTAATTATAAGGTCATTAATTATAATAATATAGTCAAGGAGATATATATCTCCCTGACCATATAAGTGTATTTGTTTTTAAAAAAGACTTTATGCTTTAGTTTTAAAAATTAAATATCCTAAAATTATTATTGTTGATTTTTTTATTTTGTATAACTACGTTTTTCTAAAAATATTTACTATGTATGATTTTTATTGTAATTAATATTGTATAATGTAGGATTTTTTCGTTTTCAAAAGCGTAATTTAATTTGCATTTTTATTCAAAAAATATCTTTTGTCTTGCATATATATGAAATCCATAAATTTTACGTAAAAATATTTCTTTTCTTGCCAACATGATTCTTGCAGTACAAAATAATAACCATTTAATGTAATGAATGAGGCGCTTTTTGTTAAGGATGTGTATTTAACAAAAAACTTAATTACTAAAATTTTGTTGACGTTTTTTGCATCATATAGCATTTTTTTATATTGAATATATCATAACCAATTCGATAAATTCATCATTTGTACACTAAATTTAAACCCTAGAAATTTTAAAATGCTTCACCGAAATTATACACGAAAAATCGCTTAGAGAGAATCGCTTAGAATTACAAAAATTAATGTTTTACATACCTGTCCCTGGAACATATATATTGAGGTAAAGACAATCTTCACTTTGATTTGTTAATTGTGGAAGCAGTCTTTTCAAATACTTATATCTTCCAAGAGGCATCCTTTGAAGAGCTTCTGTTTCATTCGAAATGTCAGGGAATTTTTGAGGACAAACTGGCCCGTATTGGTCAGCTAACCTCACACTCTTCCAGTGAGGGGAAGTAACTGGTGGCATAAACCGCAGTGGACCTTTCGGGGCACCTGCGTATGGAACACCCAAAAAGACTTCCACATTTTGAAGTTGGCGATTAGATAAAGTACTCATGAATCCACGCAAGGAGCCATAGCGAGTGGATACAACACGTGAACTCAATTGTCTTAACTCTGGTTCCACATGACGTAAAGATACTAAGATGCACTCCAAAGTCAGTGTCTGTAAGCAGAAAACTATCCAACGGTTTAAGCTCCAATCAAATGTGTAGTTGGGTCTACATCTAAATGGTATCATGATGAATATGAGCTTTTAAATTCAAGTATGAATTATTTCACAATAAAGGAACTAAATTTTAACACACTGAGCTGTCAAGTATTCGTTATTTAAGAATATGCACACACATATATTCCATAATGTCGCCTACTACAATTTTTATATGTCTTTTAGTGTATAAATTCTGTTTGAACTATAATATTTAAAAAAAAAAGTAAAATTCAATTATGATGACGAAGTGTCACGAATTTTCAACTGAAACGTAATGAAAAACTTAACATTTGATTTCATTAAGAATAAAGAAAAAATAACTTAAAAGTGTGAAATCTACTTGAGTTTACGGAACTGCACTTATTATTTAAGTTTGTGTCATTTTAATTCGAAAAGTTTCAGTTTTATCTTCAGTATAAATTGGTTAAAAACCAACATCTTCCCAATAATAAAGAATGATTTAATCTATTAAATCATTTACGTTTTTATTAGTCCAAAGTTTCATCAGATAAACTTTGACATTTTTCAGGAAGTAATTGTGAAGTTATAAATGCTTGTTATCTGGTGTGTTAATCAATATTGTAACCAATTTTTTCGGAAGTTCAACGGAAGATAATGCTAATAAAATGATTTGCATTCTGAGATAGCGCTCACATTAAGAAAGCATCCGCATCCAGGGATAGGATGCGAGAGGAAGATTTTCACTCACTCACTGATTTAGGAGCTTGGAATAATAAGGGAAAATAAGATGCGATCTTTCTGCTCTTTGCAGTACCTCGACCGATTCACGCACTGGGAAGAGAAACAGGATGGATAGCTATGATCTCGCTGTTCTGACTGGCGCATGCGCTCTTACTATTTCAGTTGCTCATTTTCCCTTTCGTTAGGGGAATACGTAGGGAATTTATTTTTAGATTCATATATTTAAATAATTGACGTATATTATGCAAAATTTAAGGCAATAGTTCTTTTGTTTCTTGCCACCATATTTTTGTGCTTAAAAAATAACTATTAGATGTAGATAACTTTCTTTTTAAGTCAAGAGAAAGAAACAATAGCACAAGCCTTTACCAAATACTATATTATTCGATACTAAATTAAATCAATAAATTAAGTTTTACAAACTAATGCATAATGAATATTATAAATTAATTCGAATATAATGTGATTTATTCTTTCCGTGAAAAAGTTGAATTAGATTATGAAATATTTATTTTTCGGAAAAAAATACATTCAGGTTTGATGAGAAAACACTATAGATATTTATTAAGTTTTTACCAAATTTATGAAAGTCAAGAGAGTCAGAAACTGGAAAACAGAATTAGTTTAGAGTGCTTTTAATGTCATTTAATCAATCGGTGCTTATGATTATTTTAATAATCTATATTTCAAAAACTGTTGTTTGATAATTAATAAATAAAATTAATTGAAAAAAACATTAAAAAAATCTGTATCTTACTTTATAATTTTAATACACTGTTTTATGAACGATATTTTAATTTTTTTAAATACTTTTCTTTTATTAAATATACTTTTGTTCTTCCATGAATATTCTATTTTATTTTTAATTTCAGTTTTGAAATAGTCGAAATTCATCTGAGAATAAGTGATTTTAGTTTTTTATCTGAAAAGCTTTATTCCTTTAAGAAAAATATGAATAAAATATAAGAATAATTTAAAATATATTTGTAATATTTATTTGAAATTTGCCCTTTCTAGATTGTTGAAAAATAAAATGAAAACTTTTTTGAGATATTACCCGTTGTAACACACATTATTTTAAATTTCAAAAGCAAGCTTGACTCAAGATTTTTCTTGAAAAATACTTTAACAAGTTGTGAAAATAGTAATAAAATAATACGCAAGGAATTTCTTATTTTTTCGCTTACATTTATTTGAAATAAAGTAAAAATATACATAATTTAATAATTAGTATATAAGTAGATGACACTTTCATGAAAATGTATAAGGAACATCAAAATATTCTCGTATTAGTTTACTTATTATTAGATCACTCATTATTAGAAATAAAATTTAGTACAATTGTAACTTTCAAAGTATATTATAACTTAAATCGCTTTAAATTTAATTTCAAGAACAATTTGTAATAGTGTTTTTCTTTTCAATAATTTTGATGATTTAATTTCAATCCGTTCCATACGTCAAATAAGACATCTAATTTGTAAGAAATTAACTTCAAAAATGTAGCTGATAATTCTTATTATTAAAGAAAAAAATAACCATAATGTGATACTTGTGTCACTAATAATAAAATAGCTGTTAGCCATTTCAAATTAAAGTTTAAATTAATTTGCGATAGTTTATAATAACGTAAAAACTTTTGATTCAGGCAAAAAATAGCAAGCAAAGTTTTGCATAGATGTAATCATGAATGAACATGACATTGAAAAGTTAAAATTAATCTTATCAATCACTGTAAAAAAAATCCAGATCAAATTGCGGTAAAACGTACTGTCATTTAGGGTGGCGATATTTTTTACCGTAAAATCAATTTTCACCGGAACATGTTACGGAAGAAAAATCTGACATTCCGTACTTTTTATAGTAATAATTACCGTAAAATCACTGAATTGATATATATAAATAAGTATAACTTTAAAAATTACAATAAAATATTTTACGGCGAAAATGGATTTTACGGACATCGAAAGTGGCTTTATACCATATATTTTTATAATTTAGTAGAGAATTTGTAAGAGGGAAATTTTGTTTTTGCCAGAATGTTTCAAAAGCGATTACAACCACAAAAATAGTTCTGAGTCGAAAATATTTTTTTGTGAGATTTCAATTCATTTTCCTAAAAAATTGTCTCAAAGTTATGAAGATGCATAACAATATGGCTCCGGACATGATTTTGCTAAGTATACAGCAAATATTTTAGTGCATAATTTGAGTTTTTTTCAGATAGAGTAACGCATTTTTAACTTTAAGCCAAATACTAAATATATTTTATCCGTACTTTTGACTGAAAAAGTTAATATTTTGGCCAAATCAAATTTAATTTATATTTAAATATAACCAAGATAAACGTTTTCACGACAAGCTTAGCCGTATAATTCCCCCCCCCTCCCAAAAAAAATATTCACTCCACACTATTAGAAAATCCATTCCAAATTACAGTGTAAAGTATTTGCACTTTGGGGGCATTACCCGTAAATCTATTTTACCGAAGTATCTATTTTTACTGTAAAATATTATACAAAAATTTCTGCAGTAACGTTTATTTATTCAAAAGGGTTCAGTGATTTCGCAGTAATAATTATTGTAAAAATTTACACAGTATATCTGAGTATTCGTTCAGGAACATGTTCCGTTAAAAATTGATTTTTCGGTTAAAAGTACCGGCACTCAGAGTGCCGCGATTTTATATCGTAATTTGCTTTGGAATTTTCACAATGTAATAAGCTATAAATGCAATGCTAAAAATTTATTAACTTTTTTAATTACACTTAGCGGATCTGTGGTGGCTCAGAGGATAGAGCATTTGCCTTCTAATTAGGTTAACCGGGTTCGAATCCCAGAGATGGCTGTTGGATACGAATTCCGCAACCACAGGGCCAACCACAGGGCAAACGTAAAATATCCTCAGTGGTAAAGAGATCTTGGGTTAGAGCCCCCTTACCATCCCTCTAACTGTGAGAGATTTTCGTGGTTTTCCTTTCCATACAACGCAAATGCAGTTAGTTCCATGAAAAGTCCTCCATGAAAGCAAATTATTATTTGAACAAGGAGTTTCCTTGTCTTCTGCATTGGGTTCAAAAGTTTAGGGCTACATAGTTCAGCACTAGTAGTCGTAAACCCGAAATTGCGTCGGCTGTTCAATTACGGTTATAAAATATAAAATCACACTGAGTGGTACGTTATTAAATTGTAAATATAAAAATAAATTAACATCTGATTTGATACTGAATTAATATTTAAGAAAAATATATGGAATACCAAAATCGGCTGTTTAATTACGGTTATGAAATATAAAATCACACTGAGTAGTGCTTTATTAAGTGCTAAATTTATTTTTAATTAACTTCTGATTCGATACTGAATTAATATTTAAGAAAAATATACGGGATACCAAAATCGGCAGGGATTCAGAAAATCTAAAAGTTTACCTTGGGTCAAATTAATCACGATCATTGCACATTATTGCCGTGGGGAATAATTCTCTTTCAACATTTGCAGAATTTGTATTAAAGTTTTGATTTATTCTCGGTAGTTTACTTGCAAAGCGTAATTAACTAATATGAGACATTATCTAAAGTACTCATTAACAAAACTCTCAGTATTTTTTTCTTTCATTTAAATATTTACAATGCTTAAATTGTAAAAGTAAGATCTTCTCAAAGAAACAAATGAGAAATCATTGTATGTTACTATTCATTTGAGTTCTTTAAAAATATCTCCATATGGCATTAATTGAAACTCATTTACAAGTCCTAATCCCAAAAGATTCGGATGTAACAAGATGTGTGAGTGCCACTGAAATACTTGAATGACATTATTAAATATCTTCTTAGCTGTTTGCTAAGATTTTCAAGGGTCTTTACAATTTAGCCAAAGGCATGCATGTTTAATGAAACATTTTACCCTCTCAAATGTGTACGTACTTTGTTTTACAGAGACAGAAATCCATTTGTATTTGTCTCATCTCAAAGTAAATAATTAAATTTAAGTATTTTACGACTTTTGTTTGGAGAATTTTGCTAAGGTAAAAATTGACATTCTGACATGCTCATTGATCAGTATGCTTTGAGAAACGTTGAAGACAAGCCTTTTCCTCAAAACATTAGATTTTTTATTGAATTTTAAAAATAAAAAATATATTAGTTGAGCATTAAATTTCAGGAATAAATGGAAGATAAATAATATGTAATACATAAAAATACCAATTACATGTTTAAAGAAAATTAAATAGTTTGAGCTGGCAACGCTACTTATGAAAAAATTATTTAAAAAAGTTTATGTTTTTTGTAATAATTTTACTAAATGAGAATTCAAAGTATGATCCATTGTTATTTTAGTTGGAGGTTAACTTTAAATATTTTAAGATAAATTTGACTGTTAATAAATTCAGTAAATTTATTAACAAATAAGAATTTTCTGGTAAAAACTTGCTTGATATTCTTTTCTCGAATATGTTTTTAAGGTTTAGAAACGTCTTTTTGGTACTGAGAACTTCTCTGAGAAATCAGAATCTACTGCATTATCTCTTACAACTAGGATATTTTATAAATAAATCTCCACATTTCCTAAATTATCACCAATTTGTTACACTAACCGTGACATAAAGAATTTTTACATTATCTTATAAAACAAATTTGAAAATATTAGTTAATCATTATTACTAAGCAGTGAGTTCTGCAATTTAATTTGAAACAAAAAGAACGTAATGTCTTATTAGAGTGAAAGAACAAAGCTCAGCTCATTTGGTTACGCTTTTATTTTCTATTTATTTATTTGAAAATGCTTTCTATTTATTTATACTTTTGAAAATGAAACTAAGAGGAGCACNATGTTAATGAAATCTTCTTAGTAATGATTCAAATGAATTTTACTCTTAATAGCTAAAAACCTAATTCAAATGCAATCAAGGAAATAATCTGTTTTAATAACACTCTAAGAATTCTGGATCAAATTTTATTAAAAGTATCGGCACGTAAGGTTGCGATATTTTTTACCGTAAAATAAATTTTCACCGGAACATGCTACGGAAGAAAAATCTGACATTCCGTGCTTTTTATAGTAATAATTACCGTAAAATCATTGAATC